CCGCGGCCTCTGAGCGGAGCCTCTTGCTGTCGGGGCGCGGGGCCCTCCGCCGGCAGCGGCGCCTGAAATCCTGCGGCACCAGGAAGCGCCTGCGCCCGCCTGGGATGCGACGGCTTATTGAAAACCACCTCGGAGTAGTACGGCGAGTTTATTTTTAAATCAACTCTAAAACTGCAACATCAGTGAAGTGTTTTCCTTGATTTTTTTACCCTTGTTTCAGTGGTTTTTTAACGTTTGAAGCTCACACCTAGTTTGCAGTTGAATTTAAAGAAACCAAAATACAGTTTTGTAACCTTGGACAACTTTTGGTGGTTTTCTTGGTGTTTTTTTGGTGGCCCAGAGCTGCTCACGCCTCTCGAGCGCGTTTGCAGTTCTCTTCCAGCAGTTCAAGGCTTCGTTCCTTACGTACAAAACCCATTGCTCGAGCTGGTTTTTGGTTCTTTTTTTTCTCCCCACCTCATCTGCCTATAAACATTCCACTTGACTTTAAATATTAACAATGACTTTAAATATTCACCAATTTTCCATCTTACAGGTAGCACCGCCCGAGTCTGGATCGGAAACTGAACTGAGCGCGCGTTCCCCCAACAAACACCACAAATTTTTCCTTCCTGCAGTGCTTCTCCCAAGCTGCCGAGGCCTGATCCCCAGTCCTAACTCTCTCCTCAGCGTCACCCTCGTGCCGGTGGGGACACCCGTGCGTCCCCGAGATGGGGCTCGAGGCCAAGCTCACCTGCTCTCCCGCTGCCGAATCGCCCTCGGTTTCGGAGGAGGGCACCGGGTGAGCCCCGGTAACGTCTGCGCCGTCCTCAGCGTCTTCGTCCCTGAAGCACGAGCGGGTTTGCAGCGAGAGCTCTTGCCGGTCAGAAATTATAGAAATTTTATCACTTTTTATTGAAAACTGCACTGAACGCTAAATGTCCACCTTTACAATAAACAAATACAATAACGGTAACACACTAAAACAAAACATACTTCTGATAGCCATTGGTTTGTTTTTTGTGTTTTTTTTCTTTTCTGTTTGGGACAGCTTAAGATTTCTCTTTTTTTTTTTGTCTTTTTTTGTCTTTTTTTGTCACAGAAACAGGAATGTACCCATACAAAGGCTCAAAACAGGCCATCTTTTTAAAAACAAAAAGGCGATGATTCACAAAAGACTATGAATATAACATGTAACTAGTTGATACAAATCTAATAGGATTTGTTAAAATCAGTCACATCTAATAACACATTTTTTGAAGTGTTCTTGTATAAAATATCACGTGAAGAAAAGAAGACTTTTATCAATGTCTAAAAAAGTGGATTTTTTTTTTTTTTTGTTCATAGACAGTCTGACAAGTTACCATAAAAAGTGTTTCCTGAGACATAAGGAAATGCAACATTATTCTTGAACCCTTTCCAGCTCAAGACTTTTTCCACTTGATAAAATAGCTGCAGATTTAAAACTGAGAAAATATATTTGAGTACAAATAGTGTGTGAAACTTAATACTTTCTTCTTTTTTTTTTCCTTTTTTTTTTTGTCTTTTTTTTAATTTTTTTTTTCTTGCATCATTGCAGGGCGTAGATGAATGCACAGCTACTTTATTCAGTGTATTGAGCAGAGAAGAGACTGGCAGATTGTTTGGTTGGGTTTTTTTTTTTTTCCGGTAGCCTGGGAGAGCAGTGGCCGCTGCCTGGAGCTTCTTCTGCCCTCCCCATCCCACAGATCCCGGCTGGAGCGGCTACAACTTAAAACCTGGCAGGAGAACTTCTGTTACATGTCACTGGCCCTGTGAGACTGCAAAAAGGATATATATTTTTTTTTTTAAATTATTTTTTTTTCTTCTAAGCCGGTACTGCTGCCTCCTGTTAGAAGAGGTACCCAGGTACAAGAGTAAGGAAAGGGCTGAAGCCACATAATGGTTTCCTCTAACATTTCTGCGTTAACTGGAACGATGGCTTAATGCAGTGGTTTGGAGACGGGGCAGAAGCCCTTCCCAAGGAATTTGAAGGGGAGGGGCAAAAAAAAAATCTATTTTTATTCATGTGATTGATGCACAGATGAAGGGAAACTTAACACACAATAACAGAAGTTGATCATTACTGTATCACATCCTAGTTTTCAGCGCTTCAGTCAGCAAGTGCCTTCTGCAGGGCTTCTCCCCAGTCTTGACCGCTATCGCTTTGTCCTTAACACTGGAACATCAATGATGCGTCTGTCCAAAATCGACATTACAAATTTCGTATCAAATTTTTTTTTTAGTTCATGTATAACTCTTTTTTTTCCAATGTCTCTTGGTCCTAAGTTTATTGAGTGATTTTTTTTTTATTTATTTATTTTTTAAATTATCTGCTATTGCTCGTTGGGATGTTCCCTGTTGTCCCCGTGTTTTGTGGGCTGGTTGGGAGATGGAGCTTGGGAAGGATGTGCCACCGTGGGAAGGTTGTGAGTGACGGGGATGCCTCCGGGAATGATGCCCTCCATCGCTGCCGGAATTCCTCCCGGCGCTACGCTCACCATCCCGGGCGGGTACCTGCGAGAGGGGACAGAGAGAGGCAGGTTTGTCACATCAGAGCTCGCCACAAACAGCATGAACTGCCCAACCACCGCCACTGAGGCTACAGAGAAACCAAGCAGCAAAGAGATTCCTCTTCTCTGCTGGAGCTGTTGTTTTTTTTTTTCTTTTGAATTACCAGGGATAGCACAAAGTTAACCTAAAGCTGCTGTGTCTTAAGTGTCCCCATACGGGCAGCGTCTTGTTCTGTGCCTTCTAACAGGTTGCTGAGCCCTATGGAAGCCTTTTCTCTTGAAAAATGGGGTAAAGAATCATGGGGAATGCTCTCTGAAACGCCAGCTGCTGGCATGCTGACGTACCAGCCCTGCAAGTGAATGCCCCATTTTTAAGTTTGCCCTCTAGGGCAGGAGAGCTGCATCTCCCTCACGTAACCAGAAAGCAGAGCTGGAAAAGGGGGCTGGATCTAACTCATCTCCCTTTCTATGAACAGGGTAAACCCCCCAGTGCTTGAGTTTGGAAAAAAAGGAGACGAAATTAGAATGTCTCGAGCCCTTTGCAGGGAAGGTGTGATGTGGGGGCAGCGAGGCCCAAACCCTCTGGAGGGCTGATGAGCAGGTGGGGACTGAGGGTCCCAACTCCCAGCTCCTCCCTGCTGCCCCCTTGCCTGGGGGAAAGGCTGGCGAGGAGGGAAATTGGGGAGGGGAAGGGAGGGTCTACCTGCCCGTGCAGGGGGAGAAGACTCCAGCTCAGAGGGGCAGTGGGACTGCGGCTTAGTGAGGATGACGCACCCTGTGGAGCTTAAGCCGAGGCTTGTCCTCAGGGCAGGTTTGGGGTTTTTTTGTATCTCCAGGGTATTTTTGGCAAGGTGATAACGCTGAAGGCTGCCCCTGCTCTAGCCGAGTCCTCATGTCTAACGTCTCCCTTCCGAGTGAGTCGTCCAGTGGAGCAATAAATAACCTTAATCTCGGGGATTTAGGTGGAAGTTAGACCACCTGACTCTGGGCCTATATTTGGAGATTTTCCCCTGGCTCATTAACCCACAAGCCGGGTCAGGCTCGCAGCAGTGGGCGTGCGGACAGAGCAAATCTGCAATCGTTCCTTCAGCAGTCGTGTCCTGCTGGCTTTGTGGGGTGAGGAGGGATCCTGCCACTCACACAGATGTTCCACAAGTGCCCGGTGGCCCCCCAGAACGAAGCCTTTGCAAAGGGGAGGCTTTATGAACCCGTGGTTAACTCGAGCAGTGCTGGCAATCCCGGCGATGGGACTCCTGGTCCCCAAGGCCGGGGATTTTGCAGTCACTGAGCCAAGAGAGCAGTTTTGGTGCTCGGGCTTTCACCCTCTCGTAGCTGGAATCCCAAAGCCCACCTCCGCAGGGGAACCCAGCGCCGCGGTCTTGTTCTCCCGCTTACCTGTACGTGGCACCATTGAGCTCTGGATGGATCGCTTGCTGATCTATTACCGACCACGGAGCTGTTGTGACAAAGAATTCCTTGTTCACGCAGTTTCTCAGGCTTTCCGGAATGCGCCCTGGAGTTGGTAATAAAGGTAAGGATGTGTCAGGCAGGTCCCAGCTTTATCACCCTCTAATAGTTCTGTTTTTTATTCTATTCTCTTAGTGTAAAGGATGACAGGGGAAAGAAGTCCTATCTCCCTTGTTTCAGGAGGATGTGTTGGCTGTGCCGAGGCGAAGGTTGGAGACCAGTTCCCTACCCTCAGTCCCAACTCTTGACTTTCAGTTGCCGCTCCCTTGAGCCCCCTGCTTTCAAAGCAGGGGCTGGCCAGACGGGAGGCTCTGCCTTCCATGTTAACAGGGGAGGCAGTTTTTTGGACAAGAGTATCGTGCCCATCATCTTGCAGCAAGCTCGGTTTTAGCAAGAGTTGGACACGGGTGCCTTCACCGCTTTGCGATTTGGTCTGCACCATCTTTTGGGTTAGCACCCTTAGAAGGAGCAACAATTATTGCTTCAGTGTCCTTCTCAGCCATGGCTGTGTCTTGGCCTTGCTGTACAAGTGCCCCACTAATTAAAAATAAAACCCTTCACCCAACTTACGAAAAAGTTCGGTTCCTCAGCTTTCTTTCTAGGAAGAAAAGCAGGATTAGAGCCCTTCCCCAGCCTCCTGCTGAGCCCCGTCTCTGCCCCTCCTGGCTCCCAGTCAAGGTACACACGTGAGCTACCCCCAGCTCCTCCGTGGGGCCGGGTACCTGTGATCGCCCGCCGGATTTCAGTAGCAGCAGCTTCTCTCATCTCCAGCGATGCCTGCTCGCTGTACCAAGCCGTGTGCGGAGTACAGATTAAATTGGGGGCATCTTTCAATGGGCCTTGAGCAAAACTGGGAGCAGAGGGAAAAGAAAGAAAAATTAATCGATGTTTAAAAAAAGAATTAAAATACGCCGTGAATGGCAAAAAGCCTTGTGGCCTGCCCTCCCAAGGCCAAGGGAAGGAGTCCAACAGCGTCCTGCCAGCCCGGAATGGTAACAGAGGCACTGAGGAGGAATCCTGTGCAGGGCATGAACTGAAAACACATCAAAAAAAAAGCCAACGGGGCTGAAAAATAAATGCTTGGGGGTGTCTCTGGACAACACCACCCAGCTCTCGTGCAGTTCTGCGCTAGTGAGCGCACTGTGTTTATTTTCAAGCACAGGCTGACGGCTTGTTCTAAGCTCACGGGGTCCCCTCACACACCTGCGAGGCTTTTTTTCTCAGACCAGCAGGACCATCCCCCAGCGCGGTGGTTGCACAGCCCCAAGAGAAAGAAAAGCGAGAGCTTTACCTAAATGGTTCAGACTCGTGCACGTCGAGCGCAGCCCCTCGTATCCGTCCCTCCTTCAGGGCTTGAGTTAAGGCCT